TTATCTGTGAAGCAAACTGTACTCCCATCTATTCAGAGATATTTGAAAAAAAAGAAGAAGCTCTGAGCTCTTAAAAGCATATTGCAAATGATATGGTGTGTTCACAGTTGTTTCTGAATCATCAAACTAATTATACTTACAGGATGTAGTAAAAATGAGTTAGTAATATCTTGTTATAGACCTATTTAAGAAACCTTGTTTTGATTAACGTTATGGCACAAAATAAGTGTTGGATTTCACAATACAAGCGAGGAGGTGTTAGGATTTAAACTATAAAAAAACTAACTACTATTAAAACTATTTAAACTATTCTCTTGAGTGCAATGATATTTTCATTTTTAGGACGAGATTTTATATTTTTGTGGCTCGTTCCACATGTAGAATAACATTTGTACTAGTGGGCCCATTGGTGCTGTCACAGCCTTTGTCCAAATGTGGCTAATATGAGAATATACTGGATTTTTTTTTTTTTCTTTGAAAAAGGAAGAAATTGAGGTCTTGGGAAATACAGCCAAGAAACAGTTTGTGACATAGTCCCTTATAAAAATACAAATTTTATTTTTTACACTTTGGTCTTTGTATGAGTTAAACAAATGAGATATAACATGATCATTAGTGAGCTTTAGAGGTGGTACCAGAATAGCTGGTTTCCCAATTTCTCTTCTTTATGCTAAGCTAAGTTAGCTGGCTGCTGCTGAGAGTGGTATCAGTTTCCTCACCTGACTCTTGGCAAAGAAGCAAGTAAGCTTATTTCCCAAAAGGTTGAACTGTACCTTTAAAGACATGCAGTTGAATCGATTTATGTTTCTCAGTTATAGCTTCCCATCTGCTTTTCATATAGTTTAAGGAGTGAATTATTATGTTGTCTATAGATGGCTTTGTAGGTAACAGATGGGCCTTAAAGAATCTCTTCATCACCAGTGAGATACTTGGCCTTGAAGGAAGGCTGAGAGATCACATTTCAAATTATTTAAGTTGTATAAAAAATCATGACTCGTCTATTTATTACAGGTCATTTTTAACAACCTTGTACAGTAGTTTATTATTTGTCCCCAGATAAAGAAAAGCTAAGAGGTTATTCTCATGCCAAGTACTAAATATGGAAATATTTCAAGTTAATGTCATTAAAATCCAAAGTTTTGAGGGCAAAAAAGGCAAAGAGCTTCCCTCTGGACAAGAAAGCGAAAGCCCTGCATGTAGTTTAAGGTATGATGGCTCAATGAATGGATAATAAGGCTGCAGAGGCAGTCTGGACAGACGGTCAGTGATCTCCCTGCAGGGAGAATAGAAGTTATTTTACAGCAGATTGCCTCACACTGCCCACACGAGCTAATTATACAGACTATTCATGCGAGTCATGTGGCAGAATTGTATAATTACAAAGTCCTTGTTCCTGTGATAATGTGCTATGTGAAAAACTGATGGAGATCTTGGTTTTACAAGTAATATGAGCCCATTAGGTGATTTTCTTTTTTTTCCCAGTGCTCATTACATTATTTGTATTTCTACATTAAGATATTTTACTTGCACATGTTTTCACTTAACACAATTACACAATGTTTAAAAACTCGTCTTTCAAGCTGAATTTTTCAATAATCTCTTCAGATGAAAGTAATCTCAGTCGCTCCTCTGGGGTGCAAATTGAGGCAGAGCTTGTGTGTATGTGCTGTGTCTGATATGGAGGTGAAAAAGGCCATGTCATAAGATGAGTCTTGACATAACGTGGTGGCAGTGGACTGTTTGCGTTAGGCAAAAACAGGAAGTGTGTCCCTGACAGGACTCAGCTCTCAGAACAAGGTCAGTGGTTCCTTTGAGCACAGCCATGGAGACCCTACAGCTCTGCTCAGTGCCAAATCCAAGACTGGCAGGCAGGACCGCCGGACAGGAAAGGTGATGAGGGCAAATCAACAATCTCAACACACATATGAGCACAGACAGATCTCCTAGCTCGAGTATGCTGAAGTGCATGCACACACTCAGACTTGAGGGAAGCAATTTAAAGTCCTTACTTCCTTTTTGAAGTTTCCAACTTTAGGGGCACAGTGCAGTCAAGTGGAGGCACCTTAGTTATTATTTGAAAACTTGGACAAACACCGTTCCACCGTCGCATGGAGCAGGCCAGGCTCCGGTACCAGTCAACACAGTTGAGAGGGTTTGAGATGAGATATCATGTCCTCATTGCTGCAGGACCCAGGAACTTTAATTGTGTCCTCCTGGTGAAACACTTTGCCTTCAGGTGAAAACAAGCAGATGGTGACTCCATGTGTAGTAGAGGGGGCAGGTGTTAGTCACCACTTCATCAGGCCAGCAGAATGGGTCTGTGGCTACCATAACTCTAATGTACAGAAAAAATAGCAAACGGAACCCCCCCCCCCCGACTAGTGCATCGCTGACTCATGCAGTCATGGGTGTGTTGATGATAGCAACACTTCTTTGTCCTTGCAATGGTTGTGATGTTGAAAGGTTTACTTCTTGAACCTGTGACAACCTCTTCTCAACTTGCAGATGCAACCCAAGTGCTTGTGTTTTCACAGCAAACAGGTTTTCTCAAAACTTTATGTTAGGAAACCAGGAAGTAAATTGTTGCATCTGTAGCAGTCACTAACACAGGAGTATAAACTTACTGTGTCTATATAGTGGAAGATGTCATTTTTATGCTGTCTTACCATAGCAATAGGACTGTAACTATTGATTATTTTCATAATTGCTTAATCTGCCTGTTATTTTCATGATTAACTGAATAATTGCTTCACTTCTTAAACATGAAAAACTGTGAAAAATATCACGTCACAATAATCTTAAGCCCACAGTGACATCAATAAATTTCTTGTTTTGTTCGAGCAACCGTCCAAAACCCCAAAATACAAAATATTCTTTAATGCTGCACCGAGAAAAGCAGGATTTTCTCACAAATGAAAACCCAGGACCCATCAAATGTTTGAAAAATGACTTAAGCAATAGTTGTCAATTGTTATTTTCTTGAGCGGCTGATTAAATGACTAATGATAGCAGCTCTATTGTTATAAAAGCACTGCAGTAGATCATTTCATATGAGTTAGGGTAAAAGCTTTTGTGGATACTGTGCAATGGAGACCTCTTATTGTTATCAAACAAAATTAAAGTGTCATCTGAAAATATGGAAAACCAGTGCAATACGAAAGCACAGTAGAAGACAAAGCACAAAATTACTAGCTTTTGGTCTCCAACATAAAATACACATAAATACCTGTATCATGCAGTTGGTGCACAACTTAATGGCTGCCTTCGGATGTTTTTTTTGAGACCTTGATAACTGTTCTTATCCCTTCAGTAGCAGTTTCTGTAGCTTTTCAGGGATTTACTAATATTACGCTTTCTCTCATTGTTGATCGACACATAGAACTGCACAAAAAGATCCCTCAGGGGGTGTGCATGTAGTCATTATTTTTATATACTTGCAGCGTTCCCATATAGGAAACTGACCCAAGTGCTGTGTAATGTTCACCTAGTAGACATAAGAAAATTGAATTATATGAAAGAAAAGGTTCACTTGCTGCAATTTATTGCAGACACAACTGACGAGTGTCTGTGCCTGAGATGTGTCTCTAATAAACTCAGCATGAAGTGACAGTGAATTGAAGTGTACATTAACCAGAGTGTATTCAGTTTTCCATCCTGACATTTCATACAGTCGTCTTTAAGAATGCTTGGTTAGCTTGGCTGACAGGTCGTAGGGGTTTGAGTTTGAAGTGACAGATCACTCTTGATCAGTTGTTGGTTCCACTGGCAGGCTGAACAGTGGGTTTGATCAAAGGTCTGGTAGCTTATAAACAGAAATCAGCCGTAAACTGTGTGTGCTTAAGAGGTCGCGGCGTAGGAAATCAGCAGGAGATTGCGGCAGTGGCTGCAGATGTGTGCTGCACTGCTTTTATTGTGGCTGTTAGTTCAGTTTTATGTGTCATTTCAATGCAAAAGTAACTTAAATACACCAAAAAGGGCTGAACAATATGATCTGAAATCTACATCACAACTGTAATTATTATATGAAATTATTTTCGTTTTCAATTTATTTGCCAATCATTTTCTTTGTTAATGGATTTGGGCTATACTTGGGCTGCAGGTGGTGTGAAGGTGGGTTATGAGTTGGCCCCATTGAGAGCAATTATTCTCCATCCCCACATGGACCATTTTGTGTTTCCCTTTTTGTGTGTGTGCTGAGTTGTTGTGCCAAGGTGGAACTCGTGGCAAAACTTGGAATCAAGATGAATGATTAGTTGGTATCAGATGGATTAAATATGGGTAAAATTGTCCATATTATTGTTTTTGGGTGTTATTCTGCTTTTTCCCAGTTGTAATTGTTGGCTGAAACTGGTAAGGATCAAATCCTACCTACTTAGCATTAAAACCTAGTTAGATAAATAGACCAACAAATTTGACGAAGAGCTCACCCCTCCCTGGCAAAAATGTGTGTAAGAGCTCATTTATTTATTTTCATCAAAAATATCTGTGCAGTTTCAAACTGATTTAAGTGTTTTATATACATTTTCCCAAACTATATAGTTTCCAGATGCAAAAAAACATGTTTTCTTGCAACAAGCATGGTTCAGAAAATCTTCCAGCAATAGAAACTTCAGAGGGAACATACAACGAGCCCAAATCTCAATAAGTAAACAAAAAAAAAAGCATTGCAAATGGATTTCAAAAATATTTAGAAAATCAACATTAATTTAGACCTTTTCTTTTTTTAAATGAAGCCAAAAAAAACTGATAGCAAGATCTAATTTACTGAAGTAATTGTGGTGGTGGAGAGTGTGATAAACATTTCAGGCTGTCATTTTCCTCCTATTGCTCTCTAAAATGATGAGTGATTCCAGAGTCACAAATAACACACTTGACAGCATGACACTCATATTCTAAATATGTTTCCAGGCACACATCTGTGTTTTTGTATTATACTTTTTATTTTTTTTCATATGAAACAAATCAATTCTTCCAATGTCTTTGAAGTGTGAAATGTCTTTTTATCATGAATTCTTACAGTACATTCAGTTAATGTTAATCTGAAAGAAAACATCTTTGAACTTGGCACTTAGAAAACAACCACAAAGAATTGTCACCTTTATTCATTTAGAACAAAATTTACAAAGCCATTCAAACAGTCATTTTTTTAATACTTTTATGTTTTTTAAACTCAACTGTTGAGAATATTCAAAATACACTTTTTAATGTTGCTTCTCTCTCTCTTTGTACTTACAAATATGTACATTAAAGTCTCAGTATCTTGTCATGTGTCGTCCCACTGACTCTTGATCACTGGTAATAAAAATCCTTTTTTAGTGTTTTATTTATATCTCTTCACACTGTTAGCACTCTGCTGAGCTCTCCACTATTCTTTTGGAGCTTGAGTGTCTGTGAATGTTCGGCGTGCTCAGATGGATGTCCCATGGCTGGGCTCACTGGCTTCTGGGATGGGTCCTCCTGGCACTGGTTGGTAGGACATTGGCATGGGTGTCTTGACTGGGCTCTGCCGGAAGAGGCCCCCGTTGGGTGCCCTGTGTTTGCAGCGGATAGAGGGCATGGTGGCACTGCTGAGGGGCAAGGGCAAGGTCCTGCCAGCGGCTGCGCCCAGTGTCCTTCCATGACCCTCCTGGAGGAAGGTGGTCACAGAGAGTGGCCGCGGCCCCCGATGGGCTGGGTAGTCCCGAGCAGACAAGGCCTCCAGGGACTGGCTGGGCTGCATGCTGCCAATGTCCAGGGCAGAGATCTCGATAGACTGGCCTGGCAGCTGCTTGTGGGCCAAGTCCTCGTCCAGGAGGCTGTTCAAACGCTGGTGGACCTGTTCCAGGTTCACCTCTTTGTCCTAAAGATAGATGGAAAGAAAGGCAGAGCCACAGAGTGCGTGTGGAATAAAAGCAGCCAAGAGAAAGGATGGTGGATAGAGGTTTTAATGGAAGGGAGAGCATGAATGTAATTAAGAATGTGTGATAAAGAATAAAAGTGAAAATGAATGTGCAGTGAAAGGGGTTAAAAGGTTAAAGAATGAATGGGATGAGGATAGAGAGTGAAAGAAGACAGAAAAAGATGAGTTACAATGGTTGTTTCATTATCACCATCATGACCAACTATCTTCAGTACAGGCGATGCAGTCGACTCTATCACTCGGTTTGAGAAAGTCTAAAACATACCTAGTAGTAATCATCTAAGTTTGAGGGATGCTAAAATAACACACTGGATTTCTGCTTCATTCAGGAAGCCCAAACATATAAATTAAGAATATACTGGAATTTTTCAAGCAGTCGACATCAAGAGAGACATTACCTTAAAACAGTAAATTCTAAATATGGGGCTGTAAAAAGATAATGTCTCCACTTCTGAAATGAAGTTAAATGAAGATGTCTCTTCATGCAGAAGTGCTTAAATTTTCTCCATAATTAGGTGACCACACATCTGCAGGAGGTGACTCTCGCATGAAGAGCATCAGCTGTTAACAAGACACGCTCCAATGGACACACAAATCCAATGAATCTGACTTTGAGACAATAAAATTCAATTGGAATTATAGTTAAAGTCAGTTAATCTAAATTAAAGAATATTTCAAAATATTCCTCTTTCAGTTCCAGGTAAAAACATCAATGAGGAAACACAAATATGGGAGACAGGGAGAGGCCAAATAAAGAGCATATGATTGTTTATCAGACACACATTTTGCATCGTATGTTACCATGCTCGCTTTTGGCTGCACCCTGCCCTCCACAAACCAACATTTTATCATCATGCACCCATTTAAGTCAAGCCACACAGAAGACCAATAAAACCAAAAAAGGCAAACAACAGAGACTATGGGGTGAGATGACAGATGAAGCATCTACAATCTACCCCTGCCCGGCCCCATGCCCCGCCCCTTCGCCCTGACACAGCCAATGACCATTCAGTACAGTACGTCAGGCCTCTCCTGACCTGTGTCAAGAGCCTTGGCCTCCTCCCAGTCTCTCTCTTTGTCTGTCCATATGTCCCGCCTCCCTTCTGGTGAAGCGCTTGTTATGTCATTATATGTCAATGGACCAGAAACCCTTTCCAGACCGTAATCCTTAGTCACCTGCTGGAGATCATAGACAATTATACATAACCAAAACGGTCCTAGACATTGACATATAATTACAATTGATTACTACTTAACTACTACTAATTACTTCAGAGTCTTGGAACATCCTTTTATATTTCCATTTTTTCTGAGAATTAGATGAAAGATCTAAAGTCTACCACTCTCATGTCTGTGTGTAAGTGAAACTTTCCCAGTTAAATCGGTACAAAGGACGAGCAACTGTGGTGGAAAATATCTGGTTCTTTGCTTAAAAAGCCTAAAGTGATCCTGTGTGGGTTTTTTTGTACTACATCTCCCTAGGTGCATTTTGGTATTCTGTTAAATGATACTCCTAATGTTGGCAAAGAAACGAAAAATGTCACTGTTGTGAAAAATAATCTGCAACTTGGATAAATGTATGACTCTTTTGGTAATTTGGCAACTATGACACTGTGTTTTTTACACAACTGCAACGACAAAACATTTAATTCACGCTTTTAAATGGCCTTTTCTCTGTGGCAATGGCAGCTGAAGCTCATGGGTAAATTTGTTGTCTTGTTGTTGTTGCCTTGTTGTTGCAGTGACCAACCTGTTACCAGGCAACTAGAAAAAATTATGTTAAACAATGTAACTCCCACAAATTAACAGGATGGAGCCTAGCAGTTCCCCCTTTACAGTCTTTATGTTGAGCTAAGATAATCATCCCTTCGCTGTGGCATCTCATTTAACTGACAGTTATTGGAGTGGTATTGATCTTCTCACCTAACGCTCAGCAAGAAAGCAAATATTTCCAAAAAGTTGAACTAATCCTTTATATGGCTGATGTGTCCAGGCTTAATAGCATTTTGTCTGAAATGGCTGTCATAATGTCCACATACTATATGTTTGTGCTGTCATGATTCCAGGGATACTTAGAACAATTTGAAGTGATACTCCATCCAGATCTTTTGAATATTAAACACTTGTTCCTGCAGGCTTGAAAGGTAGTTGCAAAAAGTTTGTAGTGTGAAGAGCAGCAGCTGTGATCAACTATCACAGCTGTAACAATTCTCAATTTTTAAAATAAACATACTGAGCAAAAAATAAAAAATAAACACAATAATTTAATCTTAAATATAAGAAAACAGTGATAAATGGCAGTCATAATTCCCCAGAGCTCAGTGTATTTAAGTCTGCTTGTTTTGTCTGTCAGAAAAGCTAAAACTTAAAGGATGTTCAATTTATGTAAAACTGGGAAAAGGGAGCCAGTGCAGCAAGTGTTTTGATAAATGTCTGTTTAGCTTTTGACATTTTTCTGCTGCAAAAAGCTGCCCTTGTTGGATGAAACTGTAGCCAAGAAAACTACAAAACTTTTAGTTACATTTCAAGCCTGAACAAGGTTAGTGTTTGATCCTCAGTAGCCTTTGGGTGGAACATTGCTAAAAAACATATCTACAAACATAATAATAATGTAGCACAAAACATGATTGTAGTCAGACAACACATCTAACACGTCTTATGTTCTATAAATAATGAGTGATGTTTGCTGTGAATCTCCCATGACAGCAGTATGTGGTTATTATGAGAGCAGCTGTGCACAAAGACTGAAATAGAAATCAACAGCAGTAACTCAAACTCTTTTCTGCAGCAAAAAGTTTGATTTACTGTGAATTATTATTATTTTATTTCCAGAACAGGACTGTGTCTTAAATGGATGAGTCCTCAGTCAGTGGTTCAAGTCAAACAGGTAGGTCAAGGCTCAGATTCTTTACTATCTGCTTTTGCTCACACTTTAGTTTAGGGATCCATGTCAAGCCTTAGTTGTCTGGACGCCTCATGCAGAGGGGCTGCCCAGTCGACAGCGGCAAGATGAAGTCAGAGCTCTAAAGCATTAAGACTTGAATGGATTAGCTAAAGAGAGCTATTGTACGACTGAAGCACTTATTGACTCAGAAGTACAATTTGAATTTTACAATTCAACATTTATTTACTGCTATCATTCCAGCTGCGGTTCTCTCACATGAGCACCAGTGACTGTGACTGTTCTTCAGCCCAAAATTTAGGCTATACTTTTATGCGTCAGTATGAGAGAGAATCACAGTAAGTTTGTTTGAGAGAGAAGCCTCAGAGAAGTCCCTAACAAAGCACCCCAACCTCTCTCCCAACATGAGAAGGAATGAGAAGATTGATCACATGATGTCTGGACTATCGTCAGGGGCACACCTATTATAACTGGGTGTACTGCAGCTCTACTAAATCGGGGCTGGCGTCAGCGCCTGGTGGATCCATAAAGTAGAGTGTGGCAGTGGCATCTCTGGGCAGGACCGGGGGGCCCGGGGGTCTGGGTCTCGACCGGGGCCTTGGAGGGGCAGGGGGACCCGTGGTGGCAACCATGGCCCGGTTCTGGGTTAGCAGGCTTGGGCCTGGGCCCTGGCCCGACGAGTTGTCAGTGGTCACCTCTTTGGGCTGCTCTCTCCGGCAGTGGTTGCTGTTCCACCAGGTCTCCAGTGCAGCCACCAGGAGGGCCAGCAGCAGCCCGGCAGCCAGGATGCAGAACACGCCGGCAAAGCTGTGGAGACGCAGTGCACGTCCCTCTGGCTGGGCGTCTGCGTAGCTCTGCAGGTCACAGCGGCCTTTCTTCGGCCACCATTTCTGCTTCAGGATGTCCAAGTCACCTTTTTCCTGAAGCTCCAAAATCCTGTGGAGGAGAAAGACTGAGTAGTTGTTGCAGAGTATCATGATAACACCACAGGAAACTGGACAAAGCCTTCAATAACATTGATTCAGATCATGTTAAATGCTGGCTAATCAAATTACAAAGAAAGTGGAGGAGAGAATGGAAAATTAAATTATTTTCAAAGACAAACATAAAGGAAAATTGGAAAATCAATGTAAGGCTGCTCTGGATGACTATAATTACTTTGATAATACTGTGTCGATCATGACATAAAACTAATAAAAACATGCAGTTAATGTACTGTATTAGCATTGATTGTTAGCTCAATTAAGGCCCACGGTGGGTAAAGTGCTAATAAAAACTGCAGTTTGCGCAGCAGCAGACTGTAATACGTATTACTGATGCAGTGTTGAAACAATTTATAAATGCTAACAAGAGCTACAAGAGCAGGTCTATGTAAATAAGGCAAAGAAAAAACAAATCACTGTAAGATTAATTGGTTTCATATCAAACTATATAAGCATGAAAACAAAGATGATCAAATACTACAGTAAGCCCATTAGCTAGCTCAGAAAGAGCTGAGAGGAATGGATAGATGTTCTGGTGGAGAATAATGACGGCTGAGTACAAACAGAGGCGAGACAGTAAATCTGTCCCATCGGAGTGGTTAGCTTTCTGTACAATCATTATTCACCCTCTTCAACAGTGACTGGCACATAGAGACTTTTGGTGCACAAATCTGCACATTCATTCGGAGCAAAGAGGCACACTCAGACATATTTACACACAGCTGTCAAAGCTGTTGACATGAAATCATTTATACGCATTTACACTCATGAAACATCACAACTCCAGATGCCTTTAAATATTCACCATTTCTCCACACAAGTGATGTATTTAAAATCTTGGTTCACTGGTTTAAAGAAAGATCAATCCTCCACTTTCAGATGGTGTTTATGAATTTACACTTTACATGAAAGAGAGAACTTGCTGTCCTCTTTTGAAAATCACTAATATCACTCTTGTGTCTGAGGAAAAATAAGATTAACCAAAAACAAAGGACAAACAGTACGGACGGAGAATGTAAAAGCATAATTCTTTGCCTACTTCTGCAAGAGGAAAAGTGATAGTATAGTAAAGCATAAAAATGTCATAGTATAGTGAGCCATAAAAATGTCAAAAAACATCATAGTATAGTAAGGCATAAAAATGTCAAAAAACATCATAGTATAGTAAGGCATAAAAATGTCAAAAAACATCATAGTATAGTAAGGCATAAAAATGTCAAAAAACATCATAGTATAGTAAGGCATAAAAATGTCAAAAAACGTCATAGTATAGTAAGGCACAAAAACATCAAAAAACCTCATAGCATAGTAAGGCAAAAAATTGTCATGGTATACTAAGGCATAAAAATGTCAAAAAACGTCAGTATAGTAAGGCATAAAAATGTCATACTATAGAAAGGCATAACACGTAAAAAGACATCATATTATATTAAGGTATAACATGTCAAAAAATGTCATAGTATAGTAAGGCCCAAAAACTCAAAATACGTCATAGTATAGTAAGCCATAAAAATGTCAACAAACGTCATAGTATAGTAAGGCATAAAAATGTCAAAAAACGTCATAGTATAGTAAGGCATAAAAACATCATAGTATAGTAAGGCATAAAAATGTCAAAAAATGTCAAAAAACGCAAGGCATAAAAATATCATAGTATAGTAAGGCATAAAAATGTCAAAAAACATCATAGTATAGTAAGGCATAAAAATGTCAAAAAACATCATAGTGTAGTACGGCATAAAAATGTCAAAAAATGTCATAGTATAGTAAGGCATAAAAATGTTGTAGTACAGTAGGGCATAAAAATGTCAAAAAACATCATAATATACTAAGGCATAAAAATGACAAAAAACATCATAGTATAGTAAGGCATACAAATGTCAAAAAACGTCATAGTATAGTAAGGCATAAAAATGTCATACTATAGAAAGGCATAACACGTAAAAAAACATCATATTATATTAAGGTATAACATGTCAAAAAACAGTATAGTAAGGCACAAAAACGTCATCGTATAGTAAGGCATAAAAACATCAAAAAACGTCATAGTATAGTAAGGCAAAAAATCATCATAGTATAGTAAGGCAAAAAAATGTCATAGTATAGTAAGGCATAAAAATGTCAAAAAACGTCATAGTATACTAAGGCATACAAATGTCAAAACTTCATAGTATAGTAAGCCGTAAAAATGTCAAAAAATGTCATAGTATAGGAAGGCATAAAAATGTCAAATAACCTCATAGTGTAGTATGGCATAAAAATGACAAAAAACATCATAGTGTAGTCCGGCATAAAAATGTCAAATAACCTCATAGTGTAGTATGGCATAAAAATGACAAAAAACATCATAGTGTAGTCCGGCATAAAAATGTCAAATAACCTCATAGTGTAGTATGGCATAAAAATGACAAAAAACATCATAGTGTAGTCCGGCATAAAAATGTCAAATAACCTCATAGTGTAGTATGGCATAAAAATGACAAAAAACATCATAGTGTAGTCCGGCATAAAAATGTCAAATAACCTCATAGTGTAGTATGGCATAAAAATGACAAAAAACATCATAGTGTAGTCCGGCATAAAAATGTCAAATAACCTCATAGTGTAGTATGGCATAAAAATGACAAAAAACATCATAGTGTAGTCCGGCATAAAAATGTCAAATAACCTCATAGTGTAGTATGGCATAAAAATGACAAAAAACATCATAGTGTAGTCCGGCATAAAAATGTCAAATAACCTCATAGTGTAGTATGGCATAAAAATGACAAAAAACATCATAGTGTAGTCCGGCATAAAAATGTCAAATAACCTCATAGTGTAGTATGGCATAAAAATGACAAAAAACATCATAGTGTAGTCCGGCATAAAAATGTCAAATAACCTCATAGTGTAGTATGGCATAAAAATGACAAAAAACATCATAGTGTAGTCCGGCATAAAAATGTCAAATAACCTCATAGTGTAGTATGGCATAAAAATGACAAAAAACATCATAGTGTAGTCCGGCATAAAAATGTCAAATAACCTCATAGTGTAGTATGGCATAAAAATGACAAAAAACATCATAGTGTAGTCCGGCATAAAAATGTCAAATAACCTCATAGTGTAGTATGGCATAAAAATGACAAAAAACATCATAGTGTAGTCCGGCATAAAAATGTCAAATAACCTCATAGTGTAGTATGGCATAAAAATGACAAAAAACATCATAGTGTAGTCCGGCATAAAAATGTCAAATAACCTCATAGTGTAGTATGGCATAAAAATGACAAAAAACATCATAGTGTAGTCCGGCATAAAAATGTCAAATAACCTCATAGTGTAGTATGGCATAAAAATGACAAAAAACATCATAGTGTAGTCCGGCATAAAAATGTCAAATAACCTCATAGTGTAGTATGGCATAAAAATGACAAAAAACATCATAGTGTAGTCCGGCATAAAAATGTCAAATAACCTCATAGTGTAGTATGGCATAAAAATGACAAAAAACATCATAGTGTAGTCCGGCATAAAAATGTCAAATAACCTCATAGTGTAGTATGGCATAAAAATGACAAAAAACATCATAGTGTAGTCCGGCATAAAAATGTCAAATAACCTCATAGTGTAGTATGGCATAAAAATGACAAAAAACATCATAGTGTAGTCCGGCATAAAAATGTCAAATAACCTCATAGTGTAGTATGGCATAAAAATGACAAAAAACATCATAGTGTAGTCCGGCATAAAAATGTCAAATAACCTCATAGTGTAGTATGGCATAAAAATGACAAAAAACATCATAGTGTAGTCCGGCATAAAAATGTCAAATAACCTCATAGTGTAGTATGGCATAAAAATGACAAAAAACATCATAGTGTAGTCCGGCATAAAAATGTCAAATAACCTCATAGTGTAGTATGGCATAAAAATGACAAAAAACATCATAGTGTAGTCCGGCATAAAAATGTCAAATAACCTCATAGTGTAGTATGGCATAAAAATGACAAAAAACATCATAGTGTAGTCCGGCATAAAAATGTCAAATAACCTCATAGTGTAGTATGGCATAAAAATGACAAAAAACATCATAGTGTAGTCCGGCATAAAAATGTCAAATAACCTCATAGTGTAGTATGGCATAAAAATGACAAAAAACATCATAGTGTAGTCCGGCATAAAAATGTCAAATAACCTCATAGTGTAGTATGGCATAAAAATGACAAAAAACATCATAGTGTAGTCCGGCATAAAAATGTCAAATAACCTCATAGTGTAGTATGGCATAAAAATGACAAAAAACATCATAGTGTAGTCCGGCATAAAAATGTCAAATAACCTCATAGTGTAGTATGGCATAAAAATGACAAAAAACATCATAGTGTAGTCCGGCATAAAAATGTCAAATAACCTCATAGTGTAGTATGGCATAAAAATGACAAAAAACATCATAGTGTAGTCCGGCATAAAAATGTCAAATAACCTCATAGTGTAGTATGGCATAAAAATGACAAAAAACATCATAGTGTAGTCCGGCATAAAAATGTCAAATAACCTCATAGTGTAGTATGGCATAAAAATGACAAAAAACATCATAGTGTAGTCCGGCATAAAAATGTCAAATAACCTCATAGTGTAGTATGGCATAAAAATGACAAAAAACATCATAGTGTAGTCCGGCATAAAAATGTCAAATAACCTCATAGTGTAGTATGGCATAAAAATGACAAAAAACATCATAGTGTAGTCCGGCATAAAAATGTCAAATAACCTCATAGTGTAGTATGGCATAAAAATGACAAAAAACATCATAGTGTAGTCCGGCATAAAAATGTCAAATAACCTCATAGTGTAGTATGGCATAAAAATGACAAAAAACATCATAGTGTAGTAAGGCATAAAAATGTCAAATAACCTCATAGTGTAGTAAGGCATAAAAATGTTGTAGTACAGTAGGGCATAAAAATT